TGTTACATAAATAATGTTTATTTTCATTAATAATTAAATATATATATATTATGTATTAATAAAATAAACATTATTTAGGTAGTGAAGAAAATGTTACGATTTCCTGAAAGATGCCTAAACAATCCAGCCTATTTTTAATATAAAACGCTCCTGAGCCAGAGCTATCGGCGGCTCGGCCGCCAGCGGCCGGGCGGTAGTGGGGAAACAGTAGGCGTCGTCTCGGAAATCGGCCCGAAATGTGCAACTAATTCCGAGCGCTGCTTTAATAAAACAATCGAATATCTGATTATATTTTCATAATTATCTTAATCAATCATATTATACAATTATTAATTTAAATTATTTAAAATGATAGTAAAAATTAACTTTGAACCGTATACACATGCTCAATATACATAAAGATCTCGATATTATTGGAGGTTCTAAGAAAGGCTTTGCGTGTGTACAGTATAAAGGCAACCTTATGCTTACCTACGTTCCAAGATGCGAGCATCAAAAGTAATGCGCGGCTCTTCGTCTTGCTCTAACTGCAAACTCAAGATATTTATCCCAAGCACTCTAAGTACGCTGTACTTATCCGACATGACAAGAGCCATGAGTTCAGAACATTGTCTGTGATTTATGGGTGCTTTTTTCATTGCGCAAACACGGTTCGCGTAATCGACTTAGGCTAATTTTATTTTACAGTCACATTTGCGAAAGTGTACAGTTTCGCGCTCATCTTTCTCGTGTCGAACATTTTCTCTCGGATTATTAAAGAAAATGTAAAATTTCAAAAGAAACTGCTATTGATATTTGTTTATTATAATTATATTTATTTACAAGATTTATAAAATAGTACTGAATACAAGAACCTAACAATAATTGACATCGCGCTCTACTGATTCCACAAATTACTTTTTAACACATTTATTTTTAACATGAAAAATAAGCGATTCCGATCGAATTGAATATGCACGGCTTAGACAGATGCGGGCGATTAAACGAAGTGTCGAACAACTTTAGCTTCGAACTGGCCGCAAAGGCGAGGCAAAAAGCGACACTACCGTGTAAATTAGATTCAACAGACAGAAACGATGAGGAGCACCAAAAGCAAAGCTCATCGTGCAAGATAACTCGAGCGTAACACGGCGTAATAGTCTGGTCGTATTAAAGCGTTATGAAGACGTTTACAAACAGGTAAGAGCGGCGACGAGATGCCGTGGCGAGCCGAGAAAACTTCGATATGATGTCAGAATTTAATGTCCCCGAAGAACGAGGCGAACGGGAGAGAATGATCCTGTAAAAGCCACGCGTAAAATCCAGATACGCTTCGTTGTGGCGGCACCTTTACGATCGGCCAGCAAATTCCGCGAGAACTATTGAGATCGATCCACCGAATCGCCGTTTGCTGCGAGAAATCCCATAAATCGCAATCATCGTCAATATCTCGCGCACTCGAGACGCGCTTTCGTCATCGTGCAGACAATCGAGGTCAGCGCTAAAATGACCGATTTGCGTGTCATGATTTTCTCAGCAGTAACATTTATAATTCTTTCTGTAATTTATTATTTTCAAGCTACTTGAAACAAAAAAACTATTAAGAAATATTTATATTAAGAAATATTTAATTTTTCATATCGTCTCTTTTCTTCGACATTCCGTGTAGAATACATAATTCTTAATTCGGGTGAATTCCAAAAAACTTTGTTTTGATTAACGTACACTCGCAGCGGAATTTTCGCGTGGAATTATTTGCACAGTGCGAAGATTCGAATGTTATTTTCTCGCAGCAAGGACGACGTAAAGGAATGATGAATTTTACCAGTAATGAGGATTGACTGGAAGATCGACTATTCGTAAGCAATGAGCGTTCGTTTAAGCATACGTCATAAGTGCCTTCAGACACGTAGACAGATACACCGCGAGATACGGCGCGCCGTTCACGAGTTTCTGGTTTATTTAGATCTAGTTCGCTTCACCTGAGGCTCGAGAGGCCTGTCCGTGATGTTAATTAACTTCCTGCGGTGGGACGCCACCTACTTCTTTCTCTCGTCCGCGAATGATACGCTTCGTTTAACGTGGACCGCCTTAACCGGCGGCACAAACGACGTTGATGCACCTGCCAGATTATTGCTATCAGTCGCGGAAACTTGGCCACTTCAAACATTGCATTTGCACATACTGCACTTACGCACGGATTTTATCTCGTGTGATATTTTAAGGTAACACGCAAAAAAACATTCAATGTTTTAACTGTGCAAAGAGTTTTAGTTTGAAAGATATTCTTATTTAATAATATTTGATAATGTTTTTCAAGATTTGAATTATTTTAAAAATATTATTTTTTTCCTAGTAATATAATTATTTATATATATAAGATAAAGTTTTAGTGGTAATATATCTTTTTTTAATTCCTCAATTTTTTTTGCTCTTTTTCTATCAATATAATTTGTTTCCGAGAGGTTTTAAAGCAAGTCTTATCGTGTACATTTCAATGAGTGATATTAACAACGAGAAACAGCATTACATATTCGCGATTTCGATATCGCGATATTGCGAGATAAACTGAGGCCGGGTATGTGTGTTTTTCCACGCTGACCGGGAAATTAATTCGATGTGCATAGGACTATCGATAATGGCTCGTAAAGGTTGCGTCGCGGATGTTCATGATTAAACGGCGGCGGAATCGCCAAGATAGTTTCGCGATCGCAGTCAGCGAAAGTTTAGAAATATGCAAATCGAACGCGAGCTGTCAGAGCGAGACCGTAAAGTACAAGATGCATCGTATTGAATGCTAATCAGGAAGTCGAAGCTCGTGAAAAAGCATTAATCAATTATTATAATCTTAGTTGTGTTTGTTGGATTTAATTAAATTTCATCACATTTTAGTATTTACGCTCTTTCTTTTCTTTTAAATAGATTTAGCAGCGATATTAATATAGCTACTAATTGGAACCTTCCGTTAATAACCTTATAATCTTGTTCAAGAAGCTAAATATATCTTCCACTATCACTATTTTTCTACTCTCTTATCCTTAGTTGCGCAAAAGGGGACTGCTCATGCGTAAATAACGTAGGCGGGCGGCCGAGACGCGAATTATAAATTTTAAGTCGTGCCAGCGTCGCCTGCGTCAAAGAACTCGAGACTTCCGAGAGGTATCGGTCGGTCGAACAATTCTGCGATATTTGCAAAATCATCTCAACCGTATTGTTGCACCAGAAAAGAAGGCGGGTGTCAAATGGCAGTGACCCGGAATAAATTACATAGCGTCGAAGAATTGCATATCTACGTTCGACGCATACATTTTTACACACTCAAAGAATCAAAAAAGATATATATTATCACTAATAATTTATTTTAAATAATTGTGTTACCAACTACTGATTTATAAGTGTAATAAGTAATGATTATTTTTTTACTACTGATAAAAATGAAATTTTTTTTTAATAATTAAATCATTTATTGTATCACTCAATTCAATTACTCAAATTTCACAAACTTAGAGTTACTCTAAATTTAATAAACAGATTTTAATTATCATGCTAATTTGCATTAGCAAACTAATGATTAGTCATTATTAATTATAAAAATATTTTTTTTAAACATAAAGAAACATAATAAAAAGTTGTGTGTACATTCGAATTTACGATTTACCGCGGATATAAATTATTTCGAGAGATTTTCATACGCAACAGAAAGAAATGTGTATTTAGATGTTTTTTTGGCGATTATTCGCTGTATTCTTTCTATTCGAAACTACTAATATTACAACACATTTATTGCAACTACGAGATTCCCTGAGAACTTCTCGACAACTCTAAACTCCGGATTGCTAGCTTGTTAGTAACTTTCGATGTTATTAAGTTTCGTTAATAATACTTACGCAATCAAATCCAACGCACTAATTTAATGCA